CCATGAAGAGTTAGTCCACATGAGTTATGGATCATAGGCCTAAGTGTAAGAATTAGGGTTACATATGACTCTTGGAATTCTAACACTATTTATGTCACCCCCTTAGGCCCCAAAATCGGATGCATGTGTGACATAACAAGGGTATAGCCGATTTTAGGGTGCTCCTAACCTCTCTCTCAAGTTCTCCAATTGTTGGTGGTGTTTGTGACTTATTAGAGGCATCACACTTGAGGTGCTAAGCTCTTGAAAGGCCAAATTCAACAAGCTACAACAAGAGGTAATCTTCTAACTAGTTTTTATGGTTCATATATCATGTTGCATGCTAGTTAGGCTTCATGCTTTGGAAAATTGTTTATTGCATGTATAACTAGAGAGAACTTAGATCCAAAGCATTAGGGTTGTATGTGCACCATAGGGATGTTATAGTGCTCAAAACCCATCAATAACAACTTTGGATGATCACTTGTTAGGAGTTAAGAATATGAAGAATTATAATGAAGTTGATGTTACTTTTGGTGAGGTGTTTGGAAGGTATACACCTCCCAGTGGGGAATGTGTTTTGCAAAGTGGGTTCCTGATCAAGTTCAATCGTCTTTATGTGCCCAAGCATCCGATTGGAGAACTATTGGTACAAAAAGCCCAGGGTGGAGGAATGGCGGGTCACTTCGGTGTGACTAAGATTTTGGAAGTGGTGATGCAATGGCATGGAGTTCCATAGACAAATCCTTGAGAGTGTGATTCTACATTCGTGAAGTATTGTTGGAATACTTTATGGAGGAAGGGGAGAAATAAATTGTTATTTGGCGCTTTGTTGAGAGGGTTGGTGAACAATTCACAAAAAGACTAGGTTATGAAGTTGGCTCGAGCTGAATTTGCTTTCAAGATCGAATTTTCAGGAGAGTATAAAGTCCTTAACTAAATTGAGGAAAATTCCTTCCAAAGGAGGTGGGGATGATACGAATTTGGAAGGTGGATGTGAAAGTTACTTCAGTTCCGATCCGAGTATGTATGGCGATCCGATTTTGTCTGTTGATGGATGCGACCAGTTGCGAACAATTGCATCTGGTCGTATTCATTTGATGTTCGTTGCGATACTGGTGGTTGTGATTCAGTTTGTTGTGTTGAGGTTCGTGGTGAAGAGGGACTTGGAAGATGTCGCATGCGTTTGTGAATCGTTGCAAATGGGAGATTGGTTGCGAAAAGGAGTTTGTGACCAATGGACTTGGTTCCGATGGGTGTTTGTGTTCAGATTCTAATTCCAAACCCATTAGTTCTGAGGGGCTTCTTTGCGATAGGAATTTCGAGGAGTTGGAAGCGAATGTGGGGTCTCTAAAGTCTAAGAGTCGCCTCGGAAGTTGAAAAGTCACTTTCCCATGATGTAGCCATTTTTCTTCTTTAATATTTAATAAAGTCTTTTATGACTAGTTTTTAATAAAGCCATTAATTGGCATAGTTATTAGGTGTCTTTTGTTTTCTTGTACCGTTAATTAGTAAGGTTATATAAAGCCATTGTCAATCATTTGTAAGGGTGTTAATCGATTGAAGTTTATTGAAACTTGAACTTGTGTTCATTTCAATTTGTTGCGTACAATTCAAATCTGGTCTTTATTGGGTCGCATCTCCTAATATTGATTTCGAACTCAAACCAATAGGTCTTGGTTTGTTTTCACCGAAGTTTCAAGCTATATGTCTAGTTTGATCTTCATACTATCCCTTTTGTTATTTTGTTCTTGTCGTTGTCCATTGTTCCGCTGCGTATTCAAATCCATTTGGGTATCATATTTGGTATCAAGCTCCATATTTGAATCATTTGTGGTGTCAAGAGTCCGATTCGTGTTAGTTAGATTTTGGAGCGGTCCAAACACGCATCAACATGTATGCGTATTTTGGGAAATACTTACTTGAACTCGGCTGATTGCATGCATCACACCCCTTTTTCTTAGAAAACCCTTTTAGAAAATCATTTTCTTAAAACATTTTAGAAATCCTTAGAGTTCAAATACACCCTAGAGTGTAACCGAACCCCTCAAACCAAGGCTTTGATACCAACTTGTAACATCCCAAAAATACCGAGTAAAAATTTCATTTTTAAATAAGTTAAAATCATTGCTTTATTGTTCCACAAGACGATCAGAGTCAAAGTATTCACAAAACATCAAAGTAATTCGTAAACACTCAGTGCGGAATAAATCTCTAGGGGATGCAGTGCAATCAAGTCGGGCCCTTCATTTTAAAACCAGAAGTACCTGAAATGTTTTAAACTGACTTCCTTGCCTTACGAAAAGCATTTCAAAACTTTCTGTTTTTACTGGTAGTAGTACAAACCATAAAATGTAAGCACAAAACTTAGTGAGTTTCCCAAAGTACCACATACCATATTAATCAGTGGGCCCAGCCCTGGGGTATATTCCAACCCAACATACAATCATGGGCCCAGTCTTGGGGTATATTCCAACCCAACATACAATCATGGGCCCAGCCCTAGCGTTTCTTTCAACCCGAACATGCAATAGTGGGCCCAGCCCTGGGGTTTCTTTCAACCCAAACATACAACTATGAGCCTAGCTCTGGGGGCCCAACCCCGGGGTATATTTCAACCCAATTATACATGCAGGAGTCAGAAAGACAGCTATCATCCTACATAATATAATTTAATGGGTCGACATTGGTGTCTTCAACCCACAAGTATAGTGAGAAGACTCATCTTGACCGATAAATGAATATATCTCATACACGAGCTGTCGGTGTTAAAGTCCCTCCCACTAACATATCCACAAACCAAACCCTAATTAGCAACTAAGGTAAATACTCCAACTTAGCAATTCCAAATACAAAGATAAATCCTCATTTGGACAAAATACCATTTTACCCTTCTAAGTCCTCAACCCCTCACAGTTGACCAAAAGCTAAAGGGTCAAAAAGTCAAGGTCAACTTTCGTTGATCTACGCATTGTGTACTCCAGCTCTACGCATGGCGTAGAGCCTTATTCCAGAATACGGGGTCCAACCAGACTACGCGCTGTGTAACCTTAAGCATGCCCTGCGTACACCTCCAGTCCAAAACTTCATTTTAAGCAATTAATACATTAAGACATTTCACTCAAAGCTCAGATCTGCTTCCTACTAGCTCTATAATGGATAAAGTTTCCAACTTTATCCATTAGGATGGTCCAAACAACCAATATCTAGTCTTTAAGTCTCAAAGGTGATGTGTATTTTGACCGCTCCAAGAATCCACAACACGACTCAGATTTCCAACACCACAATTGACTTGAAAACTAGAGCTTGGAATCAAATTTGCAACAGAATAACAACACAAACAAGAACAAAGGATAAATGAAAAGAACAATGAAAGGATAGTATGAAGATCAAACTAGACCTATAGCTTGAAACTTCAGTGAAAACAAATCAAGACCTAGTGATTTAAGTTTGGTGAAAACAAGTTAAGATCACCAGTGAGACTTCGATGCCTTCCTTCGCAACAGATCACCAGTGATTGCAACGGACTGTGACCGTTCGCAGTCAATTGCATCCAACCACCAATCGCAGCCTATTGCAATGCGAATGGAAGTTTCTGCTAAAGAAACGGCTTCCATTACCTTCTGGTCCTTTGCTTCTGGTCTCAATTGACAATCATACCCACTTACCATCGGATTGGAATATAAATTTGGGACCGAAAATGCATCTTTCTCAACTTAATCAATTAAGTCCAAGTCTCTAACCTTCATATCTAAATTAGCTTGCTCTTCAAGATTCAACCTTCCAATGGAGAAATAAGCTCATAAATGATGTCAATGCTCAAAAACAAGTGAGAGGAGGCTAGGGTTTCTCAAGGGATGATCTTAGGTGATGGAGGCTGGTAATGAGAGGGTTTCCCATAAGTTAGAGCCCTTAAATAGGGCTCAAAACCGAAGGTTTATGGTTTTGATTTGCCCAGATTACGCCCTGTGTAACATAAATTACTCCCTGTGTAACTTTTAGTTACGCCCTGGGCAATCCAAAAATCCTCAATTTCCACTTTAACTTCAAACAGCCATAACTTCTTCGTTTCAACTCCGTTTTCGGCGTTCTTTATATGCACGGAAAGGTATTGAAGAGCCCCACGATCCTATCTAATTACTTTTGACTTAAAACATACCGAATTAAAATCATTAATTCATGAAAGAAATCTGAAGCATCACTTTTCTCATTTTACCCTTTAACTCCAAAACACAAACCAAGAGCTTGGATCACATAACCAATATCCAATAGGGTCTAAACCATTTTCCCTTGAAGCCCAAGGCATTTACTTGATCCATTTATTTCCTACAATTCCGAAATAGTAAATTTCTCGAAACAGGATGTTACAGTGTTAGTTACCCATGACCCACAATGAAGTCCTTCTGGTAACCAATAAACACCACAACTCAGACCTACTATTGGACAAAAGAAAATGCAATTTCTTTCCAAAATGTGGAACAAAGACCATACATCAATTCACTCTCTCAATGGATCTCTCATATATACGAAACATAATGTTTCCTAGTCCCGTCCAATTCAATTATAAGTTGTCCCTTCATTTGTAACACAAAACACAATAAACAACAACAGTGTTTTCTTCTTCTATTTAAAGCTTCAAATATATATATATATATATATATATATATATATATATATATATATATATATATATATATATATATATATACTCCCACAACAAGCTCACGTCTACATGTTTCTTTTATGGATTATACTTCTCTTTATCCGTATTTTCAGACACAACACACCCTTTACTTTTTGACAATACAAAATCCTTATAGCTACACATAAATGCATCTAGAGATGCGGCTAGCAAATAAGCAAAAACACCATATGAATGCACATCACTCATATCATCTTTTGCAAATATAAATATATACGGATAAATATATACGGTAATCAAGGGTTAATTACCAAAAATACATAATATGATATATGCCATTCATCCATTACTAACTTTAACCAATTTCAAATATCCCAAACGGATCAAACAGTTTTGAGGGGAAAAAATACGGCAAATTGGCAATGAAGGAATGTATGTTTGTCTTTTTAGTAATTAACCCTATTGTGATCTATATCTACTATACGTGTTACTCAATTACTTGAAGATCTTCGGCTAAGTGAAGGCGATGAATTGATGATCTCCTGACCGAGCTCATTAATTTTGTTGAGTAAAAGCATTTGCTCGGTTTCAAGTTGGATGATGCATTCTTCTTCAACTTCATGGAGGCTTTCGAGCTCAGTTAGAGATGATGACACTTCTTCAAGATTTTCATCTTCGATTAGAGACCGGATTTTCATCATCATTTGCTTTATCTAACAAAGGGATGAAATATGGTTTTATGTAAGATAAACATATATGATCGATGATTGATATGCAAGAACACATAGAATATAGGACTCATGGACATTGCAAACTTCTATCTAAAAAAAATACATACTACATTTATAGTTTCACCATTTTATCGATTCAACCACTTCACTATCTTTTGTAGTCATTGAACCAATATAGCCTTTTTACCATTCAAAAAACCATTTTCGTAGGGGTAAAATGCTCAAAAACACAATGTATTTTAATCATTTTATGGATTTAGCCACCGACCTATTATTATAACTAAGGTTTAAAAGTACGGAATCGTGCCTCGAGGCGTTTTTCATTCGCCTCACAGGCCAAACCGAGGTGTAAACTCGAAGCAGTATAAAAAATAAATTTTAAATATTATATAAATAATAAAAATATAAAATTACATAAAAAGTGTCATAATTAACTATCAAACAAATGTAAAGAAATTTTAATAACATTGCCATTCTGCGTAACTAAATAGCAACAACAAATTAAAAATATATTAACAAAGCAAATATTGAACAAAGTTACGTCAATATAAGTGAATCATGTACGACAGCCAATTAGGTCGCCTCACCCGATTTTGTAAACCATGATTATAAAACTTATTAAAAGAAATATTAGTTACGTGGCTAAATTGAAAATGGTTAAAGTATGTTGTGCTTTGCTCTTTTTCAAAACTGGGTAACCGGAAGAATGGTTATTTTAAATTGTCAAATGAAAAATATAATGGTTTAATCACCACTAAAAATAGTCAAGTGATTAAATCGCGAAAATCAGGCTGGTATGTTATATTTTTTCTCTGCCTTTTAAAACTGTCAAGTTAAAGTTGCATATTCTTATCATAACAATGGCATTCACCAATGCTTCAAAATACAGAAAATGACAACGGATTTTATTGTTTATCGATTTAGCCTTTCAACTATTATTTTTCATTACTATCACAATAATGGTTCCATTGCTAAATCAACGGATATAATAATCGCTCCATGGACAAATTGATTAAAAAAAAAAGAACAATAGGTCACTAAATTGATGAATATATGTTCTGTTTTTCTGTATTTTTCCCTGATATAAGAACCTGGTAACTAGGAAAAAAGTTTTTCTTAATCAATCAAAAAAGGTAAGATGGTTTAATGTTGTTGGTTTTTTTTCTGTATTTTACCCAAATCATTTGATTTTATAAATGCAAAGACTCTTTCTTTACGATCCTGATCATGTCTTAGATTTGAAGAATCAGAAGAAAAGAATAACCTGGCCTGAAATTTTGTGTCCTCTACTTGAGGGTGACTCGGAATCAGAAACTTTCTTTTGTAGTTGTGGAACTTTTCTAGTTACTTGAACATGAATCTCACCCCTTTTAACTCCTTGAAGAGGTATCCATTTATCGGACATCTCATTTGGGGCCAATCTTTGATATTCCACAATGCAATCACCAATACTAGATGTTGGCAAAAGGGCATTATGGTCTTTTACATGGAGAGCTAAGAGACTTCCGTCATCAGGAAATTCAAAAGTTTGATGCCATTGGGGACTCAGAGTTTTAAACATTACCTGTTTAAGCAAAAGCAAAACTTAAGGATGTTTCATTTAACCAATTTATGCAACAAATTTTCACTTTTCCAACAATTTCTGCAACCGGTTAAACATGTTATATGTAAAATTGTTGCATATATATTAGCAATTAAACCTATTTTTTAAACTATAACTAAGACAACACTCAAAACCTTTGGGGTGCGGGTCGAGTCAATTGACTATTAAAATAAATTAAAAACAAAATCCTCACCTTGGTTCTTCTCTTCAAATTTCCATATTGTACCCTAACATAGGGATCACTTGTTCCCCGGATATCTGCAGCAACAAGATCTCTTCCTTCGATAAGAACAAGCTCAATCAAACCACCTTGTGAACCCTAGACAAGGCCAAAAGACAATGTGATCAAATTAATCCATTTTAGAATTAGTTACTCCTTAACATACTTATATTTTTTTATTTTACCCATAAGTAAAGCAACGACCAATAATAGCAATACATAACCTGAAGCTCATAAGATGCTTACTAGTTTCAACCTACATACACATTGCTGTGATGGGCAAGGAATTTGCTATTATGTGTAGAGAAATGTAAGTACAGTCAAAAATACAAAGTATATTTTACAAGTTTCAACTTACATATTTATATTATCGGAAAAAAAAAAAAATGCAGGTAGGTATGTGGTCATTATGTGTAAAGAAATATGAAAACGTTGCTATTATTAGTAAAATATAAAGTATGATGCCTATATTGGTAAAAAGAATAACTATGTTGCTAATTCCTGCAATCTGTTCCCAATAAAAACAAATGATGAATTTAGAATAATCAAAGTCTACAATTAAATGCTTTGTAACAGTTGGGCATGTTTCTTTTTTCCCATTAAGGATAAAGTGCTGTCGGAATTCAAGATGTTTAAAAAATGATATAAGAATTTCATGGCACACTTGGGGAAATGGAAGGAAAAAATAAATAAGGGAAAATTTCCCAGACAATTTGAATTTGTGTTAAGTATTAACTCAAAAAGGAAAAGTCATATGTTATATATCCCCATTAATTAAGTAAGAAAGAAACAGCACCTAAATGGTAAACATGATTTGTACATACATACCTTGGATCCTTCATAATCATCAATTGTTACTGCTTCGATTTGAAGCCGAACTTCGCCCTTTTTGACTTTCTCAAGTGGAATCCATACATCCCTCACCACCCCATCCACTAGACCTTCCAAATTTACCCTTGCACCACCAATATTCTCATCTCCAAAGATGTCTTCATTATAACATTTTACCTTTAGATATTCACCATCACTAATCTCTTCAAACTCAAACTTCTGAGTCCAACTAGGTTGTGAAGCATTTGTGGCACCTCTCGTTCTTTGGATCGTCTGTCAATTCAATTCATAAACGACTTTAATCACAAGAAAAAGAAATAGCAATGCACTGGACTGGACTTCCATTTCAACCTATTACAATTTAAAAAAAAAACATTCTTCTTTAAAAATCTCATCCAAACGGAATAAATTCAAAGTATGATGCTATAATTACAATGTTGTAATAATAGGAAGAAACTTGTAATAAACAAAATTCAATAAAAGCAGGATTCATATAATGGGTTTTGACTTGATAATATTCATAGTACAAAAGTAAAGATATAATTAATCTGTGCATTTAGTACCTACCTTCCCATATTGCAATTTAACATACGACTTTCCACTTTTGTCCTTCTCTAAAAGTTCTTTCCCTTCAACAACAGTTACGTAAATCTTCCTTCCGGTTCTTGGTTGAAAATTTGATGTTGACCCAAATAATGATCCCCGTGAGCTAAGTTGAGAACCACTCAAGGTATGTAAACCATCCGAAAATTGCCATTCTTTCAGTGTAAGTTTCACTTTCAACTACAAAAAAAAAAAAAAAAAAGATCCATATTATGCCCATTCTACTTTCTATATCTTAAATTTGTTGACGAAAAATGAGAAAATACATAATCTTAGCTTCAGATTTTACCACAAAGGTGACAATCGGCTAACCATAATATCAGATTAAATTTTTTTCCAGAAAGTTGACGATGGGCCAATGTGTAATTTTATCTTGAAAAATTTGCTAGAAAGGTGGCAAAGGATTTCTAGCTTCAGATCAACCTGTTTTGCTACTCAAATGAGTGTCTCGAAATGTTCTTTCATCAAATGTCACATTATTGTTATAAGATCCATTCTCAAGTGTAACCTTTTTGCATTCGAAACCACTAAATACTTGTTTAAGTTGTACATTTATTGAATCAAAGAGAAATTGATTTATTTTGGGACTGAAGGCTAATGATGATTTAATTAAAAACTAACTGAGGTGATCAAATAGCAACGCACATTTAAATTGTCTTATCGAGGCGACTTAACTTTGTTCAGTTCAACCCAAGTCTATGTACTTTCACACTTGGTTAATTTTTTAAACCCGTTAGTGCTGACGTGGCATCCACTTGGTGTAACGTGGACGCCATGTTAGCAATGTGACCGGTCAAAAACTGACTGAATGATTTTTTTTTATGGAAAAACATCATTACATCATACCTTTGCTGAGTTAATACTCTCAAATGGGACCACCATTTCAACTTCTTTTCCGCAAAACTCAGCATGCTTTGCTATCACACCTGATTCTTCCCCAACAGCCCAGAAGATAGTCGAATCATCCGTGCAATATCGCAGCTGCACCCATACCCATTAATAAATATTTATCAACTTTCAAAAACGGAAACGCAATTTATTTGGGCTAAATAGCATTAGCAACCTACTTGTATTTATTTGCATCTTATTTTCATTTCTTTCTGTTGCAACATTAATGGTCTTTCATATTAATCCCTTGTACTTTGAAAGATTCACCCAAATTTTCATTTCTTTCTGTTGCAACATTGTCTTTCATATTTTCATTCCAGTGTTAGCATTCTACTCCCAAATTGTTTCTTATTATATAGGACATTATACTTTCAAATTTCGATGGTATTGCTATAATTGGTTGGATTTTCAAGATACAATGAAGCAAAAGAAAGTAAATGTTGTGCATTTCTCCCTTTTCCAAACCAGGATAATGGTTTTTTTAAGTGAATAATAGATCAATATAATGATGACAACATTACATATAAGTGCATAAAGAAATCAATGAAAGTCAAAGCATACCTTGATTTCGCAGCTAGCAAGGTGATCATAATTCACATTATCCGGGCAACTTTCATAAAGATTAAACTTGAGAATTCCGGCATCATCATGAAGAAGCATATTAAAGGTTGAATCCCATGTGGGGTTGGGTCCCGCTACCTCGAGTGTTCTCCTTGTCAAATCTTCAAGTTCCACTTCTACAAATGTATGGAAATCTTTACCCATGTCATGATGATTCTCTTGCCCATAACCATAACCATCACTTGTAGTTGTAGTTGTAGAGCTTCCTTTAAAACTATTCCGGGAAAGTTTTCCGGCGGAAACAACCGTCACGTGGAGGACACCCCCCACCGCCTTTTTCCGGAGGTCCACTGGCGGCAAAGCAAGACAACGGCGCCGAGGTTCCACCATTGTTTTGTTCAAGGTATCGTTACAAATTTTAACCTAAAACACAGCCAATATAGTAACAAGGGTTAATATATTATATTACACAACTGTACTTTGAAAAATATACCCAATTATAATCCTAATACGTAAATTTCAATCACCATGACCATGGTTGAAGTCTTATGCACCAAAATTTTCACCATGCTTTTAAGTATATATACAAGTTATTGGGATAAAATTTCAAAAGTATATTTAACTTGTTATCTAATCTATGTACTAGCTAGCAATTTCAATGTTACACGTGACACAACTAGTGGGACGGGACCACACAAGCATCAAATCAACTTTTTGAGTGAGACAAAAAAAAAACTGCATGTTGTCATGTCCTGTGATGTGATGTGATGTGATGCCTAAAAATTTAGAAAGTTAGTTACCAGCCAGGATGAGACACCAGGGAGTTCTGTTGCAGGTAAAGATTGGCTGCCACCACTTCCAAATGCAACACCTATTCTCACCTCCGGAGTCGACACAAATGAATATAAAACCGCTTTCCCATCTAAAATCGGTGATATAAGAAGCTGCACAAACATCATTTTCATTCGTAGCTTAATCATCAACCAACATAATTACTGATCATGTCATTGTGGATACAGAAGCTTAAACTGATTTTGAGTATGAGTCTTAAAATGAATGGTAGGATACACCACTAAAGCCTTACACTAACAGATAAGCAAATGAGGTGTATATATATGTATATATATATATATATATATATATATATATATATATAATTGTGATTACATACATCACCCTTGATGTGGATGTTGTTTACTACAATTCGAGCTGTTCCCATCGGTTTTGCCAACTTTGTAAACAACATGATACTTATGTCAGTAGTGTCCCAGTCAAAGCCCATACGGATGAATCTCTGCCAAGGCAAATAATATAAAGTTTGAGCCAGAATTTATCAAATAAAACATAAACAAAGATCCAAAACATAAATCAATAATCTAAGCTAAGGCATTTACCATTAGCTGGAATAGATTTCCTTACATCAAACTAAAATTAGATAAAAGCTAACTATTTAAGGTGCTCATTCTTAATGCCTTAGTAGACGTAATGGAGAACGCGGCTTAATTCTGTAAGCTATATATAATTTTTTTTTTCTTTTTTACTTAATACAGAATGTCGGGGAAAAGGCGCTTTCCCCAGTAAGTCCTACCTTTTTTTAAAAAAAAATTGCCTAGTGCCCTCATCTTCTCAGTTTTTAGAACATTATTTATCTTAGTCGAGAAAATAATAATAATAATAATAAATAAATAAGAGCTAAGAGATCAAACCTGATCACCTGCAGTAGACCATTGAGCCCCATGCATTCCAAATATTGGAGGGCATGAACCTAACGAAAACTCTTGCAGCTCGATCCTTTCCTGCACCAAGACTGCTATTAAAACAAATTTGGAAACATTTTTCACACATCCTCTTAAATTCTAATCAACAACAACTTACAATTAGCTTTGTTTTCCGATGCTTTAGGCGTTTCTGCACAAGGAAAATCATTGTTGCTTATTATGTATGCATGATAAGAAACCGAAACAGATAAATAAAGACAAGAATGTTATTTTATAATCAAATGCTTATATCAAATCAATATACAACACCAAATAAGTCACATATAAACGTATATGTTTCAAATTTGTTTATCACGTCAAAAGAATTCGTTTGCTTAAATGAACTGTGAAATCTCAAAAAGGAATTTTAATAATTAAATTAAAAGGCTTTCAATTTCTTTACAAACATTGGTGCTATTGAAGATTATATATATTATATATATATATGAAAAAAAAAACAAGATTTTCTTATTCCATGGTAATACTCAATTCCATTCCAGTTTTGATCACTGCATACCAAACACTAAGCAGTTTGGATGTGGGGACCCTTTAGAACAAATTTTGTGGAGGCATCATTGATTGTATCAAACCTATATATAAAAAATATACAAACAAATGATATATCTATAAGAAAGTAGTCACCTCAACAATGGATGAAAATTTGAGTGAAAGCTTAGGACTAATGAAATTGGGCCAAACTTCAATTAAGAGTTTGTTGAGCCACTCACAGTGCTCCAATGGTGTTGTAGGCTGGTGGAATAAAATAAAAATTAGAACAAATCAATTTCATTAAACTCATTATGTTTCAGAAAAAAAAAGAGCATACAGATGTTTGTAAAATGAGTTGCTTCCACTTTTTATTCAAGTCTTGCACAACAATTCTCTGTCGATAACTTCCGTACTGCAGATTAAAACATATATCTCTTAGTAATTCCATTCCATTTCATGTGTAATATTAATCTTTTCAATTATAAAAAAGATTATTATGCATTAGGACAAGGACTCTTTTTTTTTTTTCCTTTTTGTACATCTACATAAAAAGATGTCTGGATAAATTATCTTTGAAAAAAACAAAAAAATGATGGAACACTTGGGTTAATGGAAGGATAAAATAAATGAGGGTAAAATTGTAAGCACCTAGCACCATCTTGCTCCAACCCCAGAAACACAGAATAAGAAAGTGAAAAAGGAAAAGGAAAAACACAATCCACTTGGTATAATGGAAACAAAAAGAAAAAGGACAAAGAAAAGAAAAAAAAGAAGGGGTGGCATTAGATGATATGCTAATTAAAGAGTTGAAGCATGTGCTACTCTTCTTGGTGCTCAGGAAATTTTTCAATAAAATACTCAATGAAAAAGATTCTCATAGTGTAATACACATGTTTTGTTATTAACCAAATGTCTAAAATACCCTTGACCCTTCAAAAGAAAGGGAAATTAGGGGAAAATGTGTGCAGAAAGCAACAATAATAATTATTTGTATCAATGAAAATCGACAAACATGCAATGTTTCTTGAAGGTTTGCTTGTAAAAAATAAAATAAAAAATAAAAAACAGTTTCATTTAAAGACGCTTTTATGCTATTTCTTGCATTTAAACTTTTTTATAAAAACAAACTAGAAACGTATCATATCTTTCAAAAAGTGGAAGATGCTCTAGCATCATAACTCACACTTGATCATCTCTACCAGATATGTATGTGATTTGCATAAATATTTTACTTTGGCATCGAATATCAGAGATCAAACTCCAGTATAGATCTTTGTTAAAAGAACGAAAACAAATTCATCAGAAATGGAGAATGGAGAATAATAAAGAATAATTTCATTACGTCTTATACCAAATTCCATTATTAATTTCTATGAAATTTGGGATAAATAAGTTGTTTTGTTTTTTAAAGTGCAATGCTGTAAGAAACAAAATCAAAGTAAAATGCTAAAAATGGTACGTTCCTAATTTTTTTGCATTTAACACCAAAAAAAAAAAAAATTGAAATTAAATCGCAAACAAAATAACAGACAAAAAGAATGATTTGACTATATGTTCAGTGTCAGATTATTTATTGTATTTGTTCTTCTTTTCAAAGTAATGGTTAACCTCAAAACTACTACAAGAAAAATCAAAAAACAGAATGAAGAAATAAAAAACTAAATTCACACGTGATTTAATTACAACTAGTGAATCGTAGAACAAACCTGAACAGTTGCCCAGACAGCAACAGCAAGAGGAACCCAATTCGAGAGGTTGAAAACCCACTTCTCAATGCTCCATAAAACCAATAACAGAGGAATCACTAATGGAAAAAGAGGTTTTTCCACATATAATTGATTCAAGAACTCGGTTATTTTGCTCATATCAATACTAGCTTTCTTCATCTTCCTTCTATACATCTCAACAAAATTCTATATAAACCCAGCCCAAGTTAAGTTTCTTCAGAAAAGTTGAAGTTTTCTGAGGATTAACGCTTCAGATTAAAGAACCCCCATGAATTGATTTCGAAATAATGAGATATTATAGTAATAAAGAATGAATGTTTAGAGGAATTCGTAGAGACAAGAGATACCACAGAACAGGTTGACTTTTTTGAGAAAAAGGGAGGGTTAACGATCAACGATAGAAACAGTGAAGAACTGATGTTCTAACAGAAAAGTTTAAGTACGAGATCGATGAGCTATTTTTGTATTATTAGCCATAAAAGAATTGGGTTCTACAAGGATATTGGGGAGAAAGTTCCTTGAATGATGGCTTCATAGATGGTGGTCTGGGAACATTTTAATGGAAAAAAGTTGTCATGTGTTTGTGGTGATCTCTCGGATAAAACAAATAATTTCGATAATTATGTCATTTTCAGTAAATTCTTAATAATTTATATCAATATCATCCACATAAAATTTTATTACGATATATACACTAAAGTCCCAATATTTTCAACGATTTGATAAGAAAGTCTTGAATTTTATTTTTTTGACAGTGAAGTCCTAACTATCGGCAGTTTTTGATACGCTTACCATTTTTTTCCGGTTAGCCGGTAATTATGACTTTATTGTCAAAAAAATAAAAGTTTAGGATTTTCTTTTCAAACTGTGAATTAGTACTTTGCTGTAAAAAAAATAAAGTTTGTGACTTTCTTGTCAAATCGTTGAAAATATTAGAACTTTAGTGTATATATCCCTTTTTTGTTAGAATTTTTATGGTATGATACTCTTTAAGCATAAGAGTTATTGGAACCTACTTTGGTCAGCTAGATCCTATTGAAATCCTCAACGTTTGCTTCTTGTTAAATAGTTTTTTTAATCTCAACAAACCAGCATTGAAAAAAAAATGGAGATAATCAAAAAAGAAAGAAAGAACCAGGGTTGTGTTTACTTTTTGCAGTCCTAAAAATGGAGAACAAAGAAATCGGAAAAACGAAACTGTCTTCTTACCCCTTCTCGACATTCACACCCTTTTGATTAGGCATGTGTTGTTTGTGTTTGTACAATCTGTCCCCTCTTTTCAGTTCAAGATTTGGCGAAGAACCAAGAAGAAAGTTTTACAAGTCTTCTCACCCTCTCTCGCTCTCTCTTTTGCATATGTTTCCCTTTATCGTGATTATAGCAGGGTAAAGATGATGATGGTAACAAAAACAGTGGTGATGCGACATAAATCACAATTAAGAATTCTTAGTGTGTCAAAAATTGTCGGTAGTTATGACTTTACTGTCAAAAAATAAAATTTAGGACTTGTTTGTCAAATCATTGAAAATATTGGGGTTTAAGTGTATATATCCCAATTTTATCACAATAGAGTTTGTTATAAATAAAGTAAATTAGTCCAAGTGTCAATTTGCACGTTTAGTCCTTATTTCTAAAAATTAATTCAGACTGTCCATCATTCATTTAATTCATGTCCGCCCAGTCCCTATCGACGTTAATCGTTTGTTTTCTTTGTTTGGGTGCCCCACGTGCCTAGCACGCAGGGGTATTTTCGTTATTTCATGTCAAGTGCCCTATTAGAGTCGCTACCCCTCTCTTTCTTTCACTCACCTTCGTCGGTAATTTTCTTCCCCAGTTTCTTCTTCGATTAGCCTTCTCCACCCAAAATGGCCATTAGATGCAATTGTAGAGTTGAAGTTGTGATTCGTTGAAACATCCAAAAAATATGACCCAAAATTTTCACTTTTCGTTCAAGTAGAAACAGTATTCCAAATAATTGTTTATACAACCCAAATAAAATAAGTATGTCAATCATCATAAAATCAGAGTGTGTCCTATAAACATAATCCTAATGGTGTGTGCAATGCAGTCGCCCCGAGCTCTTCCCCTTGCCACTGCAAGTACCTGAAACATAAACTGAAAATCGTAGGCACAAAGCTTAGTGAGTTCCCCAAACTACCCCAGACCATACATAATAAATCACATACTGGGCCACCGCCCGACATCGGGTCTCGCCCTGCATCGGGCCCCGCTCGGTATACAGATCTATTATTCTCAGGCCTCGCCTGTTACATGGCCTCGCCCGCTATACACATATAATCAATATCACATAACCATGCTAACACATATAATGATCATATGTTCCAGTCCTCAGGCCTCACCTGACATCGAGCCCCGCCCGGTATAGCAGAACATAACACATGCAAGGGTCACGCAGATTCCTAGCATCCTAACATAAGCGATAAGGGTCGGCGTTGGTGTCTTAGACCCGCTAAACCCAGTAAGGAAACTCACCTCGAATGTTGAATCTCACTGAAAGAAATCCCTAGATGCTGCCCTGACGACTCCCCGAGCTATCAGTACAAAATAACACCCAATCAACACTTGGGTTCCAAACTATAACCAATAATCCATACTTGGGGTAAAATGACCATTTTACCCTTAGCCTAGCTTGATCCAAAACTAAGGCCCAAATCCATAAACCAATATGGCCCAAAACCAATAGATCCACAAAGGCCCACTTATGGCCCAATTTTCCAAATTGGGCCCAATCCCTATATGGACCTTACCCTAAAGCCAATTTCCTTAGACCAAAAAGCTTGATTTCAGATGGCCCAAAAGGCCCAAAGCAACAAAGTCCAAGAAAGTGGCCCAGCTGAGGCCCAAACAACGCCAAGCCCAAAATGTCGGAGTACGTGAAGCGTACTCATTTGTACGCTAAGCGTACACGCTACATGGCTTGTACGTCCAGCGTACTCACCCATTAAGCCATTTCTCCAATAAGCTCTTAACTACTTAAGTCCAAGAGTCCCAATCACAGATATGAGTCATATGCAACATCTTAAACCATAAAGTCGTCAACTTGGTGGCTTTGCATGCCCCAATGTGACAACCCGAACCTTTTTCCGTTACCGTTAGCCGATTTCCGTTAAAAAAATTTGAATTTTATTGAGTTCCGTCAAATTCTTTTGGTTTGAAAAAACATTTAGTTATATAATTGAATTTTATATATATGAGTCGGAACCAAAATCACGCGAAAAACCCGAGTTTCCTTTGAAAAATCAATAGATTTCGGCCTGAGTGATGTTCACGGCCGTAAACCCGTTTACGGCCAGAGACAGGTGGTCACCACCACCGACCATGGAACCCCCTTATAAATATGAGCATCTACCCCTCATTTACACTTTTCTGGCCGAAAACTCTCCCACTCTCTCTCTCTAACCTCTCAACTGTAAACATCAAAACACCCTCTTTTCTTCCGAAAATCATCAAGAATCATCTTTGGAGGTTGTTTTGGAGCATCTAAAACGTGTTTTTCATCGAATCCAACATCATTGTTCTTGAGTTTATGGCCGTACACGCTTCAAAACTTCAAATCTTCAAAGGCCGCAAACCGTTTACGGTCGTACACCCTTCAAATCTTCAAAGTTCCTTCAAGAACACCTTTCACGACCGTAAACCCTTCAAGGGGCTGTTCACGGCCGAGAACCGTTTACGGACGTAATCCCTTCACGGCCGCAAACCCTTCTTAAGTGGTGAACTTGGCTGAAAACCCACTTTCCCCGATTCAATTGAGTCCCGGTAACATTCCTAAACCAAAAACAAGTGTTTTTCCAACACTATAATAAATGGTTTCGCTAATAAAATACATATATGTATTAATTGTTATTAGGATCCCGTTGAGTGCCGCGTACATCCACCCAAGGGTCTTCACTCCCAGTTTCGTTGTCCGACTATTCATACGACCAACAGGGAGTTCATACCCCTATGCTTTTACTATTTTTAATGTTTTCAGGGGGGGATACAAGCCAAACACAAATGATTTTGTGAACTTATACAAAAGAATTTCAACAGGTTTAAAACTTATGCAATTGATACAACCAAAAGATTTCCACGTTTCATAAAATATTTAGATATTTATCCCTTTTGTAACATGCTGAGCATAAGGGACGTTTTCAACGTACAACCATAATTGCATAGTTTTCAGATCAATACACAAACCAATTACACAACATACATGCAAACTATAATAGGTATAGTTTGGGATTTCAATACACAATTTTACAAATTCAGAGCTTATACATTAACACACATATAAACTATGACAGACGCAGTTTATGATATACATTACTACTTTCAGAATTCGAGAGTACTACATTAGATAATTATTTAAGTATAATTATTGTTACACTACAAGTATACAACGGATTCAAATACAAGAGAACAATACAGAACCACACGTAAACTAGTTAATACAGGATTGTGAGACATCTCTTCAATTGTACCTTTCGGGGTACAGGTTAAATCTTATCATAGTATAACCAGAGTCTCGTGGAGGGAGAGCGTGAGATTTGTGAATAGATCTATTCGGGACTGACTATCCCACACCTGAACTACTAGCTACAGTTAGACAGGTATGCCTGGGGTGAAAAATGTCATATATCTGACACTTGAAGAACGTCGTAAAGGTCACTAGGTCATATCAAGCATGGTTATACGACTCACAATAGTATAAACTAACCTTATTGTTTACGGGATTTCATTCTTCTTTAGTTTTATTTTCATTAATAAAACTAGTTCATAATACAGTTGGAGGATTCCAGGGATTTCAACTCATAGTTTTATTCTAAGTAATGAAACTACTATACATACTGGTGGTAACCAGGGTTTTCAAACAGAACATTCTATACATTACTGGTGATAGTCAGGGTTTTCATTTAAAACAACTTTATACAATATAGCTGGTGGTAACCAGACATACAAACTAATACATTATACACTACTACAGAACAGAGTAATAATCATATATGTTAGAAAATATTGGATTTTCTTGGGAAGCATACAAACATTTTACAGATTCAATGACAGGTTTTCATTACAAAAACATGTTTATGAACTCACCAGCTTTTATGCTGATACTCTCTTTTCAAAACCGCTTGTATTATCAGGAAATCAGTAGACAGGTACCTCGACAGACTTTTGAGAAGACGGAGCGTATAGAGTCTCGTCTTTACTTTTGCTACTTTTGATGTATATAAATATGAAGCAAACAGATGTAAATACATTTTTATATATTCAATGTAATGGTTGTGTTTACTTTGATTACTATGATGCAATTGTTGTGATACTACATATGACGTCATCCACCCCCGAACGTTTTCCGCCGTTCCGGTTTGGGGGTGTGACACCCAAATGTGCCCAAACTCGAAATATAACATTCTACTTCCATAAAAATGGCCATTACTCATGCATGGATGGATTAAAGCTTCAAAGGTGGCAACTTTATGACTCTAGGACCCAAAGAACACCAAGAGTAGCAACTCTAAGCTTTAGAAACGAAAATAATCAACAAGAGCTCATCTATGGGACCAAAAAGG